TTGCGTCCCAATAATCCATAGGTTACTGCTCATACAACAGGAAAAACACAAAGTTGGGGTTTTCGGATCCTGTCCTTAGTCCTGCTAAGTTCGGGCCTTTTTTACACCACAAAGGACTTGTGGTGCTTGACTACTGACGGCGAGTAGAGTGTCGTTGTGGAGGAAGTGCGATTATATTTCACGTTTGTTTTTCAGGTACTACACTTTCCGTGCGCTCCCACCACTTGTGCCAGCGGTTCTTGCGGATTTCTCTCTGCTAAAAAAACTGATCTGTTGGAGCAGACGGAACAAGGTTTGGTAGCTGCGGTTCACTGGTAATCGATGGATTTCTGCAACTCCATGTATTTTCGAATGACAGCCGTTATCCTTCAGGTACTTTTCCGTGCGCTCCCACCACTTGTGCCAGCGGTTCTTGCGGATTTCTCTCTGCTAAAAAAACTAATCTGTTGGAGCAGACGGAACAAGGTTTGGTAGCTGCGGTTCACTGGTAATCGATGGATTTCTGCAACTCCATGTATTTTCGAATGATAGCCGTTATCCAGGATAAGGAGTACGCTCACGTCCCCAAAGGGTGATAAGCGGTTTTACTTGGCTTCAGGTGATGAGGTACATATCCCAAACTGCGTTTCAGATCAATTCGCCTACTGGGACCAAAGTATAATCCAGTCTTCCAAATTAGGTAGCAGATGGTTTTTCCAACTCGATCGTAGTCCTCGAAACCTGCTTTCGTCTTTAGTCTTAATGAAAACGAAGCCACAAGCGGGTAGTGAATCGGACTTTCTCAGCAAAGATTTCAGGGATAATTCGGAAAGAAGTCATGATGGGACAGGTGGGGTTATAGCTTCTGGCGCTTTATCAAGACCTACCGAGGCACTCAAAGACATTTATCTGAGCCGGAGCAGTAAAGAAGACCCTCGGGTGTACGAGTTGCGCTGAGGACACCCTGAAAATCTGTTCGCACCGAAATGATTATTTTCCCCGAAAACAACAAATAAAATTTCAAAGTTTGCAATCTTCGCGGTTCTCGCATTATCGTGAAACTTTTTATTGGTCTGGAAATTTCACAGGCTGCATATACTTCAGGCAGTTCTCACTATTTCATCTACATCCAACCAACTTCATCCTTCTCACATTCCCCACATCTGTCCCTCAAGATGCTGATGAGGAATTCGTCGTTCCTCACATGGACATTGCTTGTCTCCAGAACTCACTGGCCTATCAGAAGGTGTTGGAAGAACCTTGGACCTACTTGCATAACTGGAACACCTTGGCTCCGTCCGCACAGCAGGAGTTGGCGCAAAACTTTATGAGCACTTTGGCGCAGCTGAAAACTGAGATGGCCATAACCCAGGGTGTATTTGATCCGTACGCAGTGAGTCAACAAACCGCCCAGTGTGTTATTGAGGTAAGGCTGTCGTTTCTTTTAGTTTATTTATATTCCTGTTGTACGCCATAGCTATCGATAAGTGATCAGTAACTCAGACTGTTCGAGTTCGAATCCCATAGTATGAGTGGTTTTCTAAGAAAACAGTTCTCCAATTACTCTGAGCGCTTTCATCATAAATGGTTAACTTCACAATTTTCTCACAGATCCCATGATTAGGGTACCACCTGGAAAAAAGCTAATTCCTCACTCAACCGTTGCTAAGTGGTCTGTCGAAGTTTTCAGCAACCTTATGAGTAGTGTATCACGTTTAAACTTTATTGTCCCTATAGTCATTGCGTGTCCTCCAGGTGAATCTCGACCTACAAGGTGAGTTGTATTCTGTAACAATCCTCGGTCTCAGCGTGGTCTTGTAAAACGTTCAGATAAATGTACACATAGACTGCACGCGTTTGGCTCTGGAGAGAACGGTCCCTTAAAGTGAATTTCAGTAGTTACGTTCCTGTTATGACCTTTAATTATTCGATCCCATGTTAGTTTCATATTCATGACTGTGAGAAGTCAAAATACAAGGTCATTCTTTCCCGCATGCTCTTTAAGATAACAAGTGATCGTTCCAAACACTAGCAATTTTTTTAGGCAACATGAATCCTTTTCCATATCTTGTTCATGTATAGTTTTTAGAATTGAAGGCAATAAGGCGTCTTTCAAGGGAGACAGTTATGAGGGATGTCTCCTGTAGGGAGGTATGTAGCTGTTCAAAATCCTATCCAACCCTACTTCGACTGACGGAAAAGAATAATGCTGTCGATGCACCGATTGCATGACCAAAAACTTCGCTCAAAAGCAACTCAACCTGTTTTTTCTTGAAGGTAATGTTTCTTTGATTTTTTGACCCAAACTGAAGACTGAATCAAACAAGACTGCAAAAGCCTGATTTCGAAAACCCACAATTTTACATAAACAAATGCGGAAAATGATCACGATTTAACTGCAAAGAGTATTTGTCGGAAAACTTCGTGTTCCAGGATAAAGATTTTCTTGCACCAGTCATCCTCCTCCGTGTAATTGAACCTTCGCCTCTTCGTTTCTTGATACCTTTGGTTTGATCCACGTACTGACAGTGTACGTTTCCGTCATCGTTGACAGTAATGCACCAATCGTTCAGCTATCACACCCTTTCGGTGCCTAGCTGCCATGAAACCCGAGTGAAGCTCGAGACGAGATCGCATTTAGCATGACAGTTCAGATTTCCGTTTCAAGAAATGTGCGACTTCTCAACGTCTGTATATCACATTTGTTCTGGCGAAAATAACAGCCCCTGCGTGGAGTAAGTTGTAGCGGTGAAAGAACGAAATTTGCAGCCGTACAGCAATGAGGGGGAAAGCATGAGTAAAGAGTGGAAAGAAAAGGGAAGAGTAGTTAATTAGTACGAATAAGCCCTATGTCCTCTAAAAAGACGATCAAGGTGCCCATACCTTCGGACAGCACTAAACTAAACGCATCCGATATCACGTTCAGGCAAGGCGCCATCAGTGGACTCAATCCAACGTCGTTTGCGAACGTCACGCGACCTGAGTCCAGTTGACAACGACAGGCGAAGTTTAGCTAGGTAGTCTGGTCAAGATATGACAGCATGCACGTATGCAGGATTTCCAGCAGGAAGACGCAAAGATCCCCGCAGTACTCAGATTTACAGTAGACGCTTTCGTTTCGCGTTGCCTTGTCATGGTCTGTCCTCCGCGAACCTTTCACTGACAGTCGTCCGGGACAGACTCCTTCGATTCTCGACTTCCTCTGTCTAGACTTGGGCAACCTGGCAGTATCCAAGCCCTCGTGCTTTTTTCTTTCTGCATGGAAGCTAGGCACCAAATGGGTGTTACAGCTGAACGATTTTTAGGGTGAGATAACCCAAATGGTTAGAGTGCGAATTTACTGATCGAAAGGTCCGTGGTTCGAACCCGACCTCTGCCTCTCGACTCCTTCGATGGGCGTTCGTGGTCTATGCGCCAACCATCTGCTGCTCTGATGAGTCGAATTCATTACCAGGTACCCGCTTACGCACCACCTCGTTGTGGACTCGCTGCAGCAGCTTACTATTGCTATGTTGCAGAGACATCGGTGATCAAACACCTGAAATGCCTAATGTAATCGGATCGGATGGTCCAAGTCTCATAACTACAGAGCAAGACCACTTCTGTAGTTAGCTTGAATACAGGGTCCTTTGGCTTCATTGAAATTCTGTTCTGGCACCACAAACAACGCAAGCTAGTGAACGCTGTAAAAACATAAGTTTCCGAAAAAACAGTCTCTTGGAAGAACAACTAGCCCGTTTTCTTAGCACACATTGAGTGTGTTCACAAAATGGTCATCAGTGCTGGTATGTTTGCTTTTTTATCGCTCCTTGGCCTGCTTGGATCACAGTCATAGATGGAACGGTCGGACGCTTGCACCCTGGTGATTTTGTTCTTGTCAAAGTACTGCAAGATTCTTTTCCGACACGAAGGGCTGCTCTAAAAATTTACAGAAATTCCTCTGAAGGTGCTTCTCATCAGGGAGTCTATTAGGAAGAGGTAATGCTGTAGTCGGCAGTGCTAGTGAAAGTTGGCGAAGTTTGTGCATCAGGTGTCTCACAAGGCCCTGTCCATTTTCAAGCGTTCCGTTCCTAATGATCAACGCGTGTCAAGCAAGCAAGTCACTACAAGCCAACTTGGTCAAGGACAATGGCTTAACGTATAGGTTCACTGGCAAAGATTGAGTAACCCCGTGCATATGCCTGTGTACTGAAACGTCCAGTATCGAGGTTTGACTTTACAGTCTGATATCTACACAAACTAGCAGTCATATCTTGCAACGTCTTCAGCGATGCGCAGGAATGACCAGGCGGACATTCCTCCCGGAAAAAGGATAGCGTCAACATTACTTTGATTTCTCGTCACCACCTGTTGGCAATGCAAATAAGAATAGGGGTGATCTCCTAATCAGCCCCTACAATTTCCGTTCTGAGATCTTGTCGGCGCTTTAGGCGTAGGTAAGGCGTGTGCGGGATGATCAGTGGCCATCAGTGACAAGTGCTTGTAAAGGCTCAGTCGATTGTTGTTCGCTCAGTCTATTTAGCTACTTCGCAGCAAGGCAATGGTGAACGGGCTTCGATTGTGGAGACTTTCCTTTTGGAGACTGAGTCAGCGTCCGAGCTGTCGCTTACCGTCTCGCTTACAGTTGAACTGTTAACACGCTTGGGATTGTTGTGGACCACAGCTCTTTAGTGCCTACTAATTGCCGTGAGCCCGGGTCTGGATAGCCGCTTGATCGCCTGCTGCGCTTGGCCAGACCAGAAAAAGTCAACGAACTTGCGAGCCAGCTGCTCTGTTGACCGCTGCCGCGTACAGCGGTGAAGAACAACCAATGAAATCTGTCTCAACGAAAAAAACGGTTATTCCATTGGTAGTTATGTAGTCCCGTTGTGTTCGGAGCTGGTTCTCCTAAAAGGGATAAACAAGATGGGATAAAATAGAACCGCGTTCAATCCACCTAGAAATCAGTGGCGAATCGTCTGCCTAACTCGGCTCGGAATCTGATAGTCATTAGTAAAAGTATCCTGTCATGTGATCTATAACCTATGAATGAGGCGCTTTTGGATACAGAGCTAAGATCTGTGTATGCATGCTCGGACGGTCCGTAATAAGACTACATTTATGTGCCATATATCCATAAAGCAGACTGAAACAGACCAAACTGACGTCACCCCGTTGTCCCTTGAACGATATTCTGGTGTAAATTCAGAAGGACAGGGTATACTAGCCGACTGGGTAGCCTTTGATTTCACCTGTAATTGTCCCAGATAGTTTTCCTGAGTTGTTTTTGACCAATCGACCATTTGCCTTTATTTGATGAACTGACAAATTCTCAACTCGTGCGATTTGGTTGTGTTTCGGACCTGTGTTGCGATAATATGCAACCTGATATACACTGGTATGGTTACTTCATAGCTGTGCCTACATCGGACATCACACCCTCAGTGTCATCAATTTTTCGCCTGAAGGTATATTTCAGTCACTGCGCAAAACCGGGCTGCGTGCGGAACGTGATTAGCCACTGGGGAGTGGGTGGGATAAGATGGATACCTACTTTGAACCATAAGTTTGATTCATTTTTTCAAAAGCTTCATAATGACCCCCCTCTATTGGAGTGCCGGACGCGCTGGATTAGGTTCACTGAACGTTCGGCCGTTTGTAACTTTTGTTTCATGCAACTTGGCCTAATCTGCTTGGCAATTCGCATCCATTTACCCTTCTCTCCTTCTCTCCTTTTCAGAATACGCAACCAGAATTCAATTCAGCCAATTCAACCCCTGTCCCTACTTCATCTAACTCATGATGTATGGTTTGCGCCCGAATACTAATCTTCTCCTCCTTCGTTTGTGTTCTGCACTTGGGATAGTCAGCTGTTGATGACGGAAGGCTTCTTGGCCATGGGGGCTTTTGGCGCTGTATCAGAAATCCTCCTCGGAAGGGACGTTAGATGACTTGACTTCTTCAAACACTCTTCACTCTGCAACGAAAAGTCAAAACCTAACGGAACTTCTCACTTTCTCCCAAGCTTGTGATACTTAAGTGGATCATCTCAATGGGACGCCAGTATCACATGTATTGAACTTCCGCGTTCAGTATATAACCTTATAAGAGTCCTTAGTGCTGTTGACTAAAAGAATAATAGTAATATCGTTCAGCTGTAGCACCCTTCCGGTACCTAACTGCCATGCCACCAGAAGCAAGCACGAGGGCCGGGATACTGCCAGGATGTCCGAGCCTAGACAGGAGAAGCCGGTATGCAGAGGTCGGGTTCGAACCACGGACTTTCCGGTCAGTAACTTCTCTCTCTCTAACCGCTGAGTCATGTCGATCTCCATAAACATGGGTTTCACTCATCATAAGAGACTTTAGTCAGCCAATCCGGGAGTTGCGAATCCCACTGTATAACTCTTGATGATCGAACCGAATGCGTGATTTTCATTGCTTACA